CGGGCGTCGGTGTTGGGGGCGGGCCCGCCCCGGGGGTGGTGGTAGAAGCAGCAGCGCCTCCTCCGGCTCTGGATCTGGCGGCAGGTCCGGCGGCGGGCCTGCAGCTTGGGCTGGAGCTCCTGCCTCCCCAGCGGTCTGCCTCAACTGAGCAGCCCAGCAGTCTTTTATAGCGAGGCTGCACTCCGGGCATGCCCAGTAGGGCTGTGGGGGAGGGGCGTGTTCTGCCCAATAAATGGGCTCCCCTCCCTCCTGCTCAGTGCGGGGCAGGTTCGCCCCGTCACAGAAGGGCTGTGCGGTGTCTCTCAGGGAGGACTCGTGGCCAATAGGAGCTGCGCAGGTGGCCCCTGGGGATGATGCAGTGCACAGAGCCCCCTGACCACACCTCCACCCCGGTGCCAGAGAGGGGACATGTTGCTGCTTCTGGGAGCTGCCTGGAGCCTACACCCCTGAGCCCTGAACATGCTCAGCCCCCCTGCCCCCACCCTGACCTCACTCCTGCATCCAAATTCCTCATCCCCAGCCCCACACCGGAGTCTGCACCCCCAGCTGGAACCCTCGCCCAGCCCCTTGAGCCAGCATGGTGAAAATGAGCAAATGATTGAGGGTGGGGAGAGAGCGCAATGGGGGGTGGGGTGCAGTGAGCAAAGGTGGGGTCTTGGAGAAGGAGTGGGGCATGGGCAGAGCCTCAGAGGGGGCAGTACAAGAGTTTTCAGTTTTGTGTGAGAAAGTTGGCCATCCCATTTGAAGTCCACCGTCTCAGAGGAGGATCTCTGCAGTATCCCAGTGTCTCACTTGTGCAGTGTAAGCTTATAGAAAGATTGTGCAGTATCTCCTGGGGACAGGATAATGGAATGCAAATTTTATCACCCGATTACAGAGGGAGACAGCTGAACCCGAGTTCATTTACAAGTTCAATACTCTCAACTTAGGCTTGAATAAAGATCTTAACTGGTTAACGCACTACAAAGGCAATTTCCCCACCTTTGATATTCGCATCTCCACATCGAATGCTGTGAATGAGACACAGCTACCCTGACTGGTCCTACAATTGACAAATAACGTCTTTGGCTGTTATATATACTCCGGATTCTGTAATTTTCACTCTAACTCATCTGATGAAGTGGATTTTACCCACAAAAGCTCATAACCTAATAAATCTGTAAATTTCTAAGGCTTCGTCTTCACTGCAAGTTTTTTCCAGCAGAAAATATGCTAATGAAGGACTCATTAGCATGAGTCACAATCTCATTAGCATATTTTCTGCTGTTTCTTTTTGTGCAAAGGATTCACAGTGAAGACGTAGCCTAAGGTGCCATGAGACTCCTTGTTGTTTTTACAGTTACAGACCAACACGGCAACCCTGCTGAGACATTTTACTGAATGTCAGTGAGAGTAAGACACTGAACTGGCTTGAGCTCTTTCGCCACTCAGTCCCTATCTCCTTCACTAGGCACCTAAATACCTTTGTGCCCCCAGTGGTTTGGGAGTCCTGGTTCCTTGGGGCTTGTTTCTCTGTCCCTGGAGCCCAGCTGCCCTTTCCGTAGCAGGGGTGATCCAGGAAATGCACTCAGCTCCAGTATTCAGGGCAGGTCTGATATCCAAAGTCACTGGGCAATAACTAAGGGTATGTCTACACTACAAAGTTAATTCGAACTAACAGACGTTAGTTCGAATTAACTTTGATAGGCGCTACACAGGCAAACCGCTAGTTCAAACTTAATTTGAACTAGCGGAGCGCTTAATTCGAACTAGGTAAACCTCATTCTATGAGGACTAACGCCTAGTTCGAATTAAGTAGTTCAAATTAAGGGCTGTGTAGCCACTTAATTCGAACTAGTGGGAGGTTAGCCCTCCCCAGCTTTCCCTGTTGGCCACTCTGGGCACCACCAGGGAAACTCGTCTGCCCCCCTCCCGGCCCCGGAGCCCTTAAAGGGGCACGGTTTGGCTACGGTGCCTGTGCCAGGTGCAAGTCTGCCAGCACCCAGCCAGCAGACCCTGCACCTGGCACTGCACGAACCAGCCACCCGCTGTCACCCAGCCCTCCACCTCTTCCCGGGACAAGGCTGGCGGCGCCCCGGAGCCCGC